CGGGTTCCGCAACCCGGGTGTCCCCCTTCTTCCGGTCTTGCCCCATCCACTCAAACTCAGGGTCGATGGGTTGCTTGGCCCAGCTTTGTCGTCGTTCTGCTGGGTTGTCGCGTCGCCCCACAGCTGCAAAGGCCCCGGTGGCTCGTGCGGCTCCGGCTTCGATGGGGTCGACTCCCCGCAGTACCCCTTTCAGCGTCTGAGGCTGGGGTGGTTGTGGTTCCGGCTGTGCTGGCGGTCCCTCTCAGTTGAGGATGTCGTTGACTGCCTCATCGGTGTCCGCGTCCCAAACTAGGTGTCTTCGTGTGGTCTCTCTGAGGCGTTGGGCGAGGTGCTGCGGAAGAGGAGGCCGACGGTCGCGGCCTTCTGCTTGAACTTGTACTCTTGGTGGAGGAGGGTCTGGATCGTCTCCGTCTTTTGCGCGGGGTGCCTTGCTCCCCTGGTGCGGGTGGAGCGGTCTTGCCTTACTCTTGGGTGTCCACCTCCTAGTCGTAATTGAGGGGGTCGTAGCGGTAGGGCAGGCAGGAGTTGAGGGGGCGGATTGTGAGGCCCCCCCGTGTTCCTTCTGGGGGTCGGTTCCTCGTTGCATGGGTCCTCGCGGTTCTCGTAGTCCTTGTAGGGGTCGGGCTCTTCGCACGGGTCCTCGTAGTTCTCGTTGGGGTCGGGCTGCTCGTCTCACGGGTCCTTGTAGCTCTTGTGGGTTCGCCCTTTCGGGGCGGCTTGGCCTTCGTCTTCGTGGCAGTGGCCCTGGGCTTCTCATTGTTGGTACTCCGAGGGCGGAAGCGGGTAAGGATAGTCTGGTCCTGACGTGTGTTTTCCTCCGCTGCCTGCTGCAGTCTTCTGCGGGCTGCCCCCCCTCGCAGGCTGGTCCCCTGCAGCACACAGTTGTCCGCCTCGCGGTCGTGGCTGCAGTGTTTGCCTCCCTTCTCTCGCCCTGGTCCCATCAAGCACCTCGGGCAGGTACGTACGTCGTGTACAAAGAGGGCTTGTTGCTTTTTGGCTGCTGTGGCTCCGGCTGGGCTGCGCTTGATGGGTGGTCTCCCATCCTCATCTTCTCCAGGCGTACTTCGCATTCTCTGTGTCCCTGCCACAAGCTCGTCCGTTACCTCGTTGGTGTCCCCCTCCCAGCGTTGTGGTAGGACGGCGTCTCCAGGTTGGGGTCCACGGCCAAGTGTTGGTCGAGCGGCGTCTGGTCCCTGAACTCTTCGATCATGCACCTCTTCGGGATCACCTCGTGTTCCTCTGT